TCAAGCACCCTCGAGGCAGTTACACAGTGCTTACAACTGTCTCTGGAAGTGAAGCACCAGAAAATAAATTAACTCATATGCAGCTGTCATCCGTACGCAAGGAAGTAAGCACAAGATGCCGAACACCCTTAGCAGGATGCAGCGCACCCTTCATGCGACTCGCCGAATATCTCACGGCGCTTCGCGCTTGGTGATGTGAGAGCCTGGTCCGGTGAGAACCCGGCGTGCTCCGTCCCGGCTTTGTAGGGATGCGAGGTCAATGGTCTAACGACTACGGCATGCACGACTATGAGTACACCCCCCCAGCATATTTCGCACGCCTTCGCCGCGGTCGCCTTCCGCCCTTGCATCTTTTCTGGCTGGCCGCGACTCGAGCTTGGATGTTTGCGTCCGCCTGAAGAGGGGGAAGAGCACTTGTCGCTCCCGGAGGATTGACTCGGCGGTGGTGCAGGGCAGGTCGCGCATTTGGAGGGGAAGATGGCGGCAGATTAGTTCCGAACAAACCAGCACTACTGAGGAGAATCACATACTACCAACATTCCCCCCGGCTCTGCACAATGNCTTTTCTGGCTGGCCGCGACTCGAGCTTGGATGTTTGCGTCCGCCTGAAGAGGGGGAAGAGCACTTGTCGCTCCCGGAGGATTGACTCGGCGGTGGTGCAGGGCAGGTCGCGCATTTGGAGGGGAAGATGGCGGCAGATTAGTTCCGAACAAACCAGCACTACTGAGGAGAATCACATACTACCAACATTCCCCCCGGCTCTGCACAATGGTGACTGCAGCAGAAAAAGCAACAAATGAAACACACTTTCAAGTCGTCGGACCCTACTTGTGGAATGGTTTGTCTGAGATTACCGATCACTGCGACATTGCCACTCAATAAGTAGCTGAATATCATCCTGAAACGGAGGTCGATCAATCCTCCATCACAAAATAATAATACAGCCGCTGCTCCTGGTCTAACCATAGGGTAATCAATCCTAAGTCAAAACCTTAAGATCTTGGAACCGCAATCTCACAACAAATAACAACCTCAAGACAATGTATACAATATTCGGAAATTAGCATTTCTTTCGTCAATATTGTGGATTTTCAATCTGCAACACGGTGGAGGTACCAATCAATGTTGCACGTCGCTGAGACTTCACACGTCTCTGGTACTCGTTGACACAACCAAGGCATCGAAAGTTTTTGATCAGGTTAAAGCTGCTACCCAAAGAGAGTCCACATAAAACGTTGATTACGCAATCTTGATCAGGCTAAACCTGCTGCTCAAAAAGTAGCTACCAAAAAGCCCAGATAGAACGTTGATCACGCTGTTGCCGGGAAGAGGAAGTTGGTCTCAGCACGGCTATCAGGAAGACAAAGCACAAAACCTCGTCAATCACTGCATGACACTACGCACAATTATATTTCTACTGCCACGCCACACGCACACAGATCGTATCATCAGTTTCGAAACTGGCATCAGTTGTTGAGGATTACTGGCAACCTAGGTTGGGTCTACCCATTTGCTACAGGTAGTCGGCCTTTGACCGAGCGGTGGAGTTTGACGGCAGTACCGCACGACGTATGGTCGCGTTTTGGTTGAGTAAGCGTTAGAGTTTGTCGGCATTACCGCGCGGCGTATTGCCGCGACTATGCTAGAGAAAGAGTAGGAGAGAGAGTTTGAGGGCAGTGCCGGGTGGAGGTGGAGTTGGAGTAAGCGTTGGCGTTTGACGGCAGTACCGCACGGCGTAATGCCGCGTTTAGAATCTGACGGCACTATACAACCCCTGTAGACGGCGGGGCGCAGCTGACGATGGCGCTGCTGTAGGTCTTGGGGGTGCTGCTGCCGTGCAGGCCCTCGCCGTTGGTGGCCTCTTCGTCTGGTTGGGTGTCGTCAGCCGCGCGTGCGGCTGCCCATAGGTGCTACCAATCTCTGGTTAACTCGTACCCAGTCACCCTCGACAAGTCGTTCAACGCTAGCGTGTTGGGTAAACCGGGTAGGCCGAAGCTTGTAGGTTTGTGGAGAAAGGCAGCTCGGCCAGTGAGGGACGAGATGAGAAAGTCTTGTATTAGAAGGGAGAGGGGACAGCAGAGAACACTCGTGTCCGAGGACCCGAAGAGAAAGTCACAACACCCATCCGTGACGCCATTCAGATCACTCATTGAATTTCCGAAGAAACCAAGTAGAAACTCCATGTTCCTCCGCAATTTACAAATTGCAATCTCCGTAGATCCATGTCCCATATTCAACCATCTTTACTATGCTCCAAGAGTATATCTAACACGCTGGTTGCGCCGCAGCAGCGGCGCCTGATGATGTCTGATGTTGTTTCTCTACAATAGCCTACAGCAATAGACGATACTGCTGTAGACTGTCTAGACTAGGTGGGCACTTTGAAAGGCGTGTGGTTCAATCTCGCCAGATTGTGTGGTGCTATGGACGACATGAGACACCCGGATTCCCCTGACCTTGAACCACCTCTCAAACCCGTATACAGCATACGACGCCGCCCCGACTCCCATAATTGACCTCTCTGCTGTTCAGCCAGCGGGGGGTGCAACTCCATCACGCCGAGCATAAAACCTGGTTACGCGTAGAGTCCCTCACAGTTCTACACGATTGAACGAATTGCTCTTGTTGTGCAACGCCACAATAACCAACACGCCTTGTACATGGTAGCGAAGTTCTACGTGCCTCGTCTGGGATGTCGCAGTCCAGCAGTCGTGATGCGGACATGCGGACTACAGCAGCAGCAGTGATTAAATAGTCATCATTTTAACAAGTTGAGTTGATTTGCATGTCCGGCACCACCGTGCCCAGGTTACCACTTGGCCGGAGGTTATACGATGACTTGTTCAACGCTGGATGACTTCTTGCCAGTAGCTGCTGAAGAACTGCAACATGAATCCTTGCCTAAACCTCCACGACCTGTAGACTTAGCTTAACCCATTGCTGCTCGACATCCTCGCGCCCAGATTACACTGGAATTATGAGTTGATTCAATGCTGTGTTCGCCCCCCTCCCCCCGTATCGCAGGCAAAATATCAATCGCAACCGAGCTGTACCAGCTACACGGCTAGCGTTTTCTTTCTGCAGGAGAAAATGTCGCTAGCGGGGCTGGTCGGGGGCTATGGAAGCGACGATTCAGACAACTCCAGCAACAATAGCTCATCGTCTGCCAAGGGGGACAAGGCCGACGACCAGGACGGGGACGGGGGGGCGGGAGGAAGCGGGAGGGAAGAAAAGAGGGCTGGTGCTTCCTCCGGCGGTGGTATCGGCTCGTGCAACGAGAAGGGTTCCGGCAACAGAAGCAACAGTACCAGCAGCGACGACGACAGCAGCGGCGAGGATAGTAGCGATGCGGAGGATGCAGCAGCAGCAGGAGGAGGAGCGCGAAAAAGCGTCAAGGCGAACAGACGAAATCCTTCGCCAGCTGGCAACAGCGGCGGCGGTAGTCTGCTCCCGTCCGTGAGCGACCTCTTCAGCAGCACGGCGGGGCCGGACTTCCTCAACGCACCGGGAGCCGGCCAGGATTTCATCGTCAAGGCCATGAAAAAGGAAAAGAAGAAGCAAACGGCAGCAGAGGCGACAACAGGCGACCCCACCGCAAATGCGGCGACAGCAGCAGCAGCAGCAGCAGCAGGAGCAACAGCGAAACGGGAGAGGGACGTAGCGGCGGGGGTGAGGGGCACGGCGGTCGGGGTAAAGAAACCCAAGGGAGGGGCGGCGGGGCCCACGGGGCAGCCGGTGGACAAAAGAAAGGCGGCGGGTGGTAAGGAAAAGATCTCGGCGAAGGACAAGGTCAAGGGACAAAGATTAAAGGGGCAATCCGGGATCGGGTCGGACTTCCGAACATGGAAGAGCGATCTGGAGATGACCATGAGGCAGCAGTACGATTGAAAATAGTAATACGGTGTAGCACGTTGTGGTTGAGAGCGTGACGCGCATTGTAGACAAATTACAAACGCTCGATAGAAATTGGAGTGCTGCAGTAGGAGGTTCGGTTGATATGGATAAGAAGCTGCAGATGCTCTTGCTGGAACGTGATGCATCCTGGGACCGACAGCAGTTGGTGCAAGCGGGTGTTGACCTTGATGCGGGCCGCTCTAATTCAATCCTTTCATTCTTGTGGGGCACCCTTTATTTATTCGCTCCTGATGAGTTCCAAAGTTCTGTCGAGCCAAGTGCCTCATTCGGCTTCGTTTGCGATGCCCTTCAGTTTGTTGTCGTTTGAGTCACAAGATTATGACGCGTTTTGCCAAACGTTTGTCTGGGCAAATGTGCAGCGTTTGTGACTCGAAGTGCACCGTTGACTCGACATGGAGACAAGACGCACGTTGACTTTTGGTCAGCTGTCTTTCAGCAATAGAACAAGCGTTTTACACACGAAAGAACGAGCTCGGTGATACAGCATTTGGTGGCTGGGTGGTTCGGTTACTACGTAATCTTCTGTTCAATTGGTATTGAGGAAACGAATTGCTATAGAGGAACTGAGAAATAAACGAGGGAGGGAGCAAGTTCGTTGCTTGTGGCTTCGGGTACTCACAGTTGTTGCTTGATCTTTTGTTTTATTTAGCCTTCTTGGACCAGGTCCGCTCAGCGCCCACTCGGAGAGTGAGGGAGCGGAGCCGGGATTATGATCTTCCTTCAATACCCCTCAACGACGCCAACAACTATCCATATCTAAAGAACATTCAAAATAACCAACAAGCGCTCATCATACAACGTTCATGAACCGTTCGTACAATGATCATACACTAGTACATTACAGAATCTCTTGGGAATGCAAAATACTCGCAAATCGAACTGAAAAAAAAAACACGCGTCAGTCGTGAGTTGTTGTTGTTGTTGTTGACTTCACATTAAACCGTATGCCAGTTGCTAAATGCCAAAATCTAGCAAAGACTCTCGGCCCGTGGTCACGAAAGTGCTGGAGCCATCTGAGGATCTAAAGAACACGCACACGTAGCAAGAAAAAGGTGTACAAGAGCCCGAAGAGGTACTACTACACCTAT